AAAATATTGCAACAGCATTCAACAATTATTTTTCTACAATTGGTGAAAAATTGAGTGAGAATTTATCTTGCAACAATACCGACCCTCTTAACTACGTGACACCAGTGACTGAGGTATTCGAGTTAAATAATATAACAATGGATGAATTAAGATGTGAGATATTTAAAGCAAAAGCCGGGAAATCAACAGGTTTGGATAAAATTTCAAACAAACTATTAAAAGCAGCCGGGGAGACCATTATCGGCTCCTTAAGTCAAATTTTTAATCTATCTATCGATACTGGAATTTTTCCAGACAATTTGAAACACACTAAGGTAACCCCTCTTTACAAATCAGGGGACAAGATGGATTGCGATAATTACAGACCTATCTCAGTAACATCAGCAGTAGCAAAAATTTTTGAAAAGCTGGTCTCTAGGCAACTAAATAATTTTTTAGAATTTCACCAGATGGTATCCACAAATCAATCTGGATTTCGCACTCAACACTCCACAGAGACTGCACTCTTATATTCTGTAAATCAATGTCTTGTAAATATGGACCAGGGCCTTATTAATGGTCTACTGTTTCTTGATCTCAAAAAAGCATTTGACCCTGTGGACCACAACATACTCATTTCAAAATTAGAGCTTTACGGAGTACGAGGGAAAGCATTACAATGGTTTATTTCATATCTGAGAGGGAGAAAGCAAGTTTGCAAAATTAATCCCGAAATATCAGATAGAGCTACAATTACTTGCGGAGTCCCTCAGGGTTCAAATCTAGGACCACTGCTTTTCTTACTTTACATCAATGACTTACCAAATTGCTTAAGGTCTACAAAAGCATCAATGTTTGCAGATGACACTAATATATCCTGTGACGGAAAATCAGCAACTGACATTCAACAAAAAATTAACTCAGACTTGAACAGTGTTCATAATTGGCTATTAGCTAACAAACTAACTTTAAGTGCTGAGAAAACAGAATATATGGTTGTTGGTTCGAGACAAAGGCTTAATCAAATAAATTCAGATCCTGACATATTAATAGGAGATCATATGATAAAGAGAGTTTCTAACAAAAAAATTCCTAGGAGTGGTTCTTGACGAACAACTTAATTGGCATAACCATATAGATAATCAATGTGCAAAAATTTCAAAAAACATTGCACTTTTGAGAAGAGCAAAAAGTTTTCTGACAGAAAATGCCCTTATTACAATGTACAATTCACTAGTCCTACCACATTTCACTTACTGCTCAACAGTTTGGCACAACGGAAATATCACCCACATTGACAAATTAAGTAAATTACAAAAAAGAGCAGCACGTGTTATCACTAACTCAGGGTATGAAATAAGATCAACAGAGATCTTAAATAGATTGAATTGGGAGCCCATTGCAAATATCCTCGAACAACGTGAACAAACAATGACATTTAAAGCAATTAACAAAATGACACCAAAATATTTAACAGAAATGTTTACTATGTCCCAGAACGATAATTATGCATTGAGAAGTAACGAACGAAAACTTCACTTATCAAAACCAAACACTAACTTCCTTAAGAAAAGTTTTTCCTACCGCGCAGCAGTGTCATGGAATAAACTTCCAAACGAAATTCTCGAGGAACATGAGCATCTTTCATTGAATCAGTTCAAAAGGCTTATTAAAAATTGCTAAGATAGCGAAATTTTCCCGAAATTTTATCGAATGTTTACTTGCATTGTAAGGTCGTTTGCATGTTATACTTCAATTTGAATTAATGTTAGTGTGTTACACTTTAGGTTTAGATTTAGTTTTATATCTTTTTAATAGTTTTAGACCACGGCCCTTTGAAAAACAGGCAACTGAAAGGTTACCGTGGATAAATATGTTTAAATAATAATAATAATAATAATAATAATAATTTTATATTTTATGTCAAAATACAAAAAAAGTTTAAAATTTAAAAAATTGGAGAGGGAGGTCTTTATATTTGCCCTTAAATATATTGTAGAAGAACGCTATATAAGTGGATAATTGCACATGCGCTAATGAACATGCATAAGGGTCCACACAAATCGTTGTAATAAGACTATAAGCCCATTTTTTCCTTCAGTATTCCAAGCATCCCTGACCATGTTGCAATATTAACGATAAAACAATTTTATATCGCAAAAATTCCAATATAAAATATAAAAATAACTAAATCTCTGAAGATGCTCGGTCAGGCGGTAAATTTATATTTTATAACAAAATACAAAAATATATCAATGCGGAAACCAAAATATCGTTGGGCGTCCAAAGGAAACCAGCGATAATGCATTTTATTTGAGAGCTCTGCTGAAGCCCAAAGGTGAAATGTGGTATTATAAAAAAAATCTATGGGATAGGAAACATTGGGTAATGTAGTGAAAAAGATCATGTAAAAAGCTGGATTTGAAGGGCATTATACAAATCACTCTCTCAGGCGTAGTAGTGCTACCAGATTGTATGATGCTGGAATACCTGAACAAGTTATTTAGGAGACGACTGGACATCGATCTTCTGATGGTGTTAAGGCATACAAATGTAAAAGTTCATCGCTTAAAAGAAAAGCCAGTGAAATATTACAAGGCACTTTACAGACGTCTAACCCTGACGTAAAACTTCAGACTGCGATTAACGTACAGGATAAGAGGGCCGAGTTTGATGCTGATGAACAAGCAATACCAGATTCGATGCAAAGAACTGCGATTTCTACAAGTAAAACCAAAATCTTTATAGCGTACAAATGAACGTATGAATAATTTACGTGTAAACTGAGTGAATTTAAGATTTGTTGTGTTATTTAAGGTCATTAAAATGACATTGTTATGCAATTGTTGTTTCCTAATTGTGTGTTTTCTTAACTTTAATCGCCAGATTTGATGCTTAGAACAAAACATTCCAAGCTTATAACTGAAACCATGTCCATGAGCTTGCATGTTTGCCCTTGTCTTAATGCCAAAGTCAGATATGTTTCATTTGAAAGCAAAGTTTAATATTGTTCAGCTCAATGGAATGGTGCTTTAGCCATTCCACTCAGTAAACCATAACTCATAAAACAGTTCAGATGCGAGGATTCAGTGCCAAATTTACCCTTTATTGAATTTTTTCTGGTGGAAATAATAAAGCTAAAAGCAAAGGAATAATTCTTCGGTCCAACAAAAAAATTAAACCTTAAACAGGGTCAGCGTTGCACTAGCTCGACATTGGTAAAGATGTGTACATAAACATGCACACTGAAATAATTCATCATAGAACAGATTTCAATTTAATTAATCGCCCTAAATTTAAATCTCCACAAGCAGAGCTCAATTATAGCGTTCTAGTTTACATATTATCATTAATGATCAGGTTAATTCAAAGAGCGTATTGAACTGGATAAACATGGAAATAGAACTTATGGTGTGTTCTGCACATGCGTATGTCTAGGATAAAATCCCACAAGCGCAAACGAAACTATTGCTCTATAAAATTGAACTGAAAGGTCTCAGAGCGACCATTTTTGGCAGTGCTTCGGGCACCCGATGATATTGTATGAGGGGCCTTCTCATTTTGAGATTGTTCATGTTATCGCTTGTACTTGTCAGGGTGACAAAGATGCATTTAGAAGATGCTTTAAAAATGGGAGCGTCATTTTTTATTGCAGGGAAATTCCCAGGAGTAATGCAGCATGCACACAGCATTATTAAAAATAATGCAGTGTGCACAAAGCATTATTAAAAATAATGCAGCGTGCACACAGCATTATTTTTAATGCTTTGTGCACGCTGCATTATTTTTTATAATGCTGTGTGCACGCTGCATTACCCCCAGGGAATTTTCTGCAATAAAAAAAGACTGCTCCCGTTTTTCAGAAGAATGCTAAAAATTCTCGATATTCGCTGATATAATGCAGAGAGAAAACAATAGGTTTGATGAGGGTGAGTAATTATTGGGTCTTACATGGGCCAATCAAGAGTTACTATCTTTTAAAGCAATATATGATGTTAAGAGCAATTTTATTTGAGCATGAACAAGGAAGATACATATAATTAGAGAATATGCCAGTGCCATAGCAAGCTCGATAATTGGGGGCTCATATTCAAATATTCATATTCACAGACCATGGGAACAATTGATTTCAAAAGAAATTAATAACGTAGAACACGAATATATGAATATGGGCCCCCCCCCCCCCCATCGAGCTTGCTACGGCACTACAGGGTGTATAAAAAAAAACTGCACAGATTTGAAATTGCTCTTAAATTTGCAAAACAGCTATTAGTAACGCGTGTCCGTAATTTTCCGGACTGTCAACTAAAACCGGACTCTCAAATTGTCAATACTTAATCTGCACAACAACACCTGGTGCGTACGCAATTTCGCAGTAATGCACGCTTAGCTCAGTTTAGGTGCAAAACGCAGGAAATATGAAATAATGTACGCAAAATGTGGGAGATATATCTGGTTTGCTAATTTAATTTAATTATGATCGTCACTAAGATCAAGGGGTCAGGAAATACCCACGTATTATCACTCAGTGAATGTAAACCAGATGTTTCCTTCAGCTGTTAAATTATATAGTTCTTAATTGTCATCAAAGTACGGATTTTTCAAGCGATGCTTATTAACAATTCTTTTAATATTAGAAAACAATATTTTGGCTGGTTCGTAATCTACCGCGCACATAATATACATCAATCCATAGACGTTATATTTATAACAACAGATTATTTAACAAATATTTCGGTTGTTATTAAAATTAAGCAAATGTATAGCACGCGCGCTTGTTATTTATATCAGCAACTGTATAGCGCGCGTGGTTATCTTAGCTCCGAGATGTTCCGCCTGTTCGGAAATCGCTAGATAGTATACTTCAAAATAAGGTAACCGCGAGAAGACTGGGTACGAGTTTGCCAAAATCTTCGGAAATCAGTTTACGAGCGTTCTACGAGGAAAACCAAAAGCACAATGATATTCAAATGTCAGACTTGGATATAAAATTCGATTTCATGTTATTTGATTTTTCCTTCGACTCTCGCCTTTTCGAGCAAAAATATCCTTCATCGATTCTGACAAGTATTGTCATTGTTCTAATCTGATCGTCGTACTAAAGAAGACCGTGTCTAAATGAAAATTAAAGGTGAAGTAGAAATATATTTTTCATTTTTATATAAATATTTGGTGAATAAATATATTTCAAACATATCAAGTACACACAATATAAACACTAATCCAATATAAACTATATGATATATCAATAGACTATGTCGTATAGGTCAAGTGTATACTGTATAGTATATACAAGCTGTAATGCTGGTGACATTCAATATTAACTGTAGATACATGCTATAAACTGTTAACTGTACTGTATGGACTGTTGACGTCTGTACTGTGTTAATAATTTTTAATATAATAATATTTATACACCAAAAATTGGAAGGTGTAATACCCACACCCCAAGGATAGGTGGGACATTAGCCGTCTTGCAGTATGTAATTATATATAGGCAGAAATGGTCTCGAGTACTGGTGCAACTCAATGGGTTAAACTAATATCTAAACATAATGTTTGTAACTCCACAATTTACATACTAGGTGTAACGAGTCTGCAATGCAGTGAGAATCAAACCCATAATTTAATTTACGTCAAATAAATTTTTAAAATATTAGGTCACAATTGCCAAACTTTGCCTTGGATGCAGTTTTTCTGGAATGATCCGGCATTTTCAATCAAAAGTGCAAATTGCCATGAATTCCAATGCTCTACTGAAAGTTGTGGGTTTTCTCCAGGCACTGCAGTTCCCTATCACAATGACTGACCATAGTTGTGCTCCATGGTTAGACATTAATCGTAAGGTGGCTGCCGGAGGTACCCTTTGAAAGCCTTTGACTCAATCGTGTTGAGGTTGTGTCCTTCAATTTACAATTCAGCTTAGCTTTCAGCTGCGAGGATAATTAGCACACTGCCACTGTACTTGTCTATATACAGTGGTGATGTTAGGAATTCACTGACAAGGGGGGTAAGGTTCTTGACAGGAGGAGCTAAGCAGTGACAGGGGGGTGAGTTCTTGAACTAGTGTTTAGGCGTAAAAAAAATACCTGTGGTTCCGGTTCCCGAGCGACCCTATTTTTTTCTGCCGACCCTATTATTTTTTCAACGCAATTGACCGTGCGACCCTATTTTCTCCAGGTGGTTGCGAGCTGCTCATACAGCGTGCCAAAATGGCGTCTGTTGTCACACTAATTATTGAACCAAATTGCCTAAATTCGTCCATAGGAAATACGCATCTCTAGTTAATATTGATGTCGGGACTCTACTGCAAATCGCCCAGCAAAAAATCGCCAAACCCATGAAAAAAATATTCAAAAAAAAAATTTATTTCCGACCTACCGACCCTAATTTTTTCACAATATGAAACCGGAACCACAGGGTTTTTTTTTACGCCTTAACATATTTTCTTTCCCAACAATGTGGACCCACAGTAAAATGGCCTTAGTGGACCGACAATAAATGACCCTAGCTGTTGCAGGCTCCAAGCTTGAAAGGCAAGTTGTAAATAAATAAATAAATAAAATTGCTAACTTTTCCCCAATGGGGGCTGGGTCTTGGGGTCCCCAACTGGGGTTGTAGATTAGCCCCAGCCCTCCTCTGGCTCCACCCCTAGGTACCTATATAGTTACAAGACTAGTATACAGGGTGTATCAAAAAAAGCGCAATCCTCGACTGAAATGTAAATTGCTAAACAAATAATAGATGAAAACGTTAAAGTTTACATTCATTTTAAAGCGTAGCCATTCAGCTTTCTAACAGTAGGTTGTTTCTTAAATTTGACTCATTGGTTCGCGGGTAATAATACTTTACGTTATTGCGATTGGAGATTAAAAAAATTGAGATGGAATAATGAAAATAACTGATTTTTTCATTAAAACAAAAAAATGTTGCATTTTAATAAATGGATTGTAACAATAAGTATAATTACGGCTTTTCTTCCACTACTTTTAACACAGTTTGAAACTTCAAATGCGATATAATTTTGGCTTGGACCATCTAAGCTGACTGACATCATCTTGCTATAATTTCTGTTTACATTACATCTCAATTCGATGACACTCTGGCTCAGACACCAGAATGTTTTGATTCTATGATTTTTAGCATTCGTGTAGGATTTTCAAACAACCTAGTCTCTTTTAAAATACTTTTAATTTGTTCTTACGTGGTTTTCCAGATGTAGTGACGACAACATTAAAGTTTAAAGAAGAAAATTCTAACATTTAAACCGACTAAACAATAACATAGTAAACTTGCATAATTAAACAGCAACTAAAAATGATAGGTTTTACTAAATCTTTTCCTGTGCAATTATTACTAGCATTGGAGACAAGGATAATAGTTTGTTTGAAAGAGAAAAGAACAGGCTTTGAAGTAAGCCTAAAAGCGTTTAACTAGAAATAGTATTTCGAAAGTTATTAAGCACAAAAGATGAATTGCGTTTATTTTGATACACCCTGTATAGTGTGGTTAACTTATTAAATACCAACTCAGAAACATTTTCAGCACTTTATCATGATTGACCTCTCCCGAATGTGACATGGCTGTTTCTTGAGTTTATGTGGGAACATGGTGATTTCTTTTTGTTCAAGACATTGCTGTAGATGTGGACGCATCTGGCTCTGCTCAAAAATGACTGCTCCAGGATATATTCCATTAGCAAGAGCTACTGCATTGGCTATGGCAAA